TTTGCCACAATAATGCTTATGCCACATGTGTATAAGCACACTGTCACCACATACTGGGCAACAGAACGCCTGATTTCAACTCCAGGTTTTAGTGACATTATAGGTGTCAATCGTTTCCTGATACTGTTACGTATGTTACACTTTTCAGACAAAACCAGACCTGACAGAAGCGACAGGTTATATAAGATAAGAAATGTGTTTATGTACCTGAAACAAAAGTGCTGCATGTATTTTTATCCCTTCAGGAAGCTTGTTATTGATGAGTCCTTGATTTTATTCAAAGGAAGACTGTGAGGGAAAAGTTCAATAGATAGGAGTAGCGAGGGAGTATATTGTAACAATAGTTTCATTGCCGGCTACTTGTTAAGGTAGGATAAGTCCAGCTCCCGCTATTCCCCCCTTTTTTCCCCCTCCCCGAAAGTGATAGTTTGATTGCCGGCTGCTTGTTAAGGTAGGGTCAGTCTAGCTCCTGCTATCCCTCACCCTCCCTCTTCCCCCCCCCCCCCCCAAAAGATGATGTGTGGGGCTCCGGTCCAAACAGTAATCACTAGACTCACAGCTCCCAGCACTACTGTAAGTACATGCCTGCCTTGTATTCTAGTGGATTTATTGGTTGAAAGCTTCACTTTTGACCAATAATAAACTTAGTCCTTTCAGTCTTGCTCTAAGTTGACTGTTGTAATAATCACCACATCTTTTAGGTATTGTACTTATCATGGAGAGTGATTTCTTAAGCAGTGGGTAACCTGTCTATCTTTCCAGCTTGGATGACAGAGAGGGTTACCTGCCAATCAACAAGTAGAATTGATGGAGATGGACTAATGTCCTGAGACTTCCCCTTTTTGGATTTAATTACCTGTGCACCTGTATGAAGTAGCAGGATATAACCCCTCATCATTGCAGTGGGAAAAAACCTGCTTTCCTGTCATCTGGACGGATTATTGACGGCTAGAAAATCTGTGAAGAACGAGCCGGTGGGTTGTCATCAACACCTGCGACCCCCCCCCACATCATCGGCAACGGCTACGATTTCAACAACACGCAGTGTCACCAACACCAGACACCCAAGTTTTATATTAGCGTTGAATTCAGTTATCATTTATATTTTTTCATTTTTCATTTTCTTTAACCCTTTCAGGGTCCGTCCCGTAGATCTACGGCTTTACAGTGAGTGTCCAAACCGTAGATCTACGCCATGAGCTCAGCTTACTCTGATAAACTGTGAGTGGTACATTTGGGCCTAGATATGAGAGAATACATCTATGTGGTATGTGTGCACCACATAAAACAGATCCTGCAGCACACTGTGTATAATGAGAGAGAAAAACTGAAATCATGATTTTTCGATTAAAACAGCAACTTTGCAGTGTTTTTTCATATGTTTTTTATAGTTGTATTTGCGATTTCTTGGTCTCATTTGATAGAATGGAAGACATATTACAAAAATAGAGATGATTTTCATTGGTTTTAGCACTGGAAATGGCTTGAAACTGAGCTCAAAGTAGCGGAAATGTTAAATTTTTGCCGATATTCAAGAGTAAACAAACGACCTCACACGTCTAATACACGTCAGCTGGTGGGTCTAATATACATTCACAAATATGGTGATGATATTTATACAATTATTACAGTATTGCATAACAGTAAATCTTCTATTTTTTGGTGTGAATAAAAATTCATTATGTGAATAAAAAAACAAAATGGAATTTATTTGTAAAGCCTCAAAACATAACTAATGAACAGAGGAAATGTTAGTTTAGTGCCAGGAATGCCTACACTGTTTATTCTGAACCCTATTTTGAAATTGGAATATTTTGAACTTTGTGTTAAATTGGCCAAATTAACAATTTCCGATCACTTTATTTTGTAGTTGAAACAGTTGACTTGGCGATTTCTTGTGCTCAATCGATAGAATAGAAGTAATACTAGTGAAATAACTAAGAATTTGGTTGATTGGAATAATGTAATTGGCCTAAAATGGGAGTCAAAGTCGGCAAAATCGCCGATTCGTAAACATCGCTGACACATCAAAATTCGCGAGAGCATAATTTCGTCAATTTTCTTCCAAATTTGGTACTTTTTGTTTTATTACCTTCACAAAAAGATTCTCTATGATTTCATAAGAAAAAATAACAAATTTCTTTTTTGAAAATTCTTGGACACTGGTGCATGACTCCAGATTTGGGCCTTGGACCCTGAAAGGGTTAATGTAGGATCAATATTTCATATTTAAGTATTTTATATTTTCTAAATAATAAAGTGTTTATGTTTGTCAGTTTTTATTCTTTTTCTATACATTAATTTTCCTGAGGAGGAGCCAGCTTTGGTAATACTGTCTGAAGTTGTTACAGGGCTGAGTAAACCTTCACAAAGACTCTCATTCAAGCAATATATACCAAGCAAGAGGAAATGCTTTGGTATAAAGCTATTTGTACTGTGTGATTGCAGAAGTGGTCTAGTTTTTGATATCATTGTGTACACTGGCAGTAATACTTTGAGAGATACCATGAAGTTATTGGGTATCTCTGGTGATGTGGTTCGAACAATGACAGAACCATATCTTGGTAAGGGGCATATGTTATTTACTGATAACTGGTAAACAAGCCCCTTACTCAGTGATTTCTTGCGAGTGAACTTGACAGACATGTGTGGCACAGTGCGTTGTAATCGTAAACATATGCCAAGGTTCGACGCTGGCACTCGCAGAGGTGAGGTGCAAGCCTTTGCTGCCAATGACATCATGGCATTTCGGTGGCATGACAAACGTGATGTCACATTATTGACATCAGTTCACCGAAACGAAATGGTACACAGTGGCAGGCACAACAGAGAGACCAATGAACCCATTCTAAAGCCTGCAGCTGTCATGGACTACAACCTCAATATGCGCTTAGTGGACAAATGTGACATGCAGATTGGGTTTGCAGACTGTGTACACAAGAGTTATAAGTGGTATATAAAACTTTTTTTCCATCTTGTTGATATCTCTATGCTGAATGCTTATAACATATACAAGTTGAAGACCAACAAAACACCAAAATTTGGTGAATTTTGCTTGTCAGTAATAAGACAAATAATTGCAAAGTACCAAGGAGCAACACCTGCAATAGACCAGCGCCCACAAAATTACCAACACACGTCATCTCGTTTCAGGCCTGGTGATGACTACCCCGTGCAACTGCCTCCTACTACTGCCAAGAAAAATGCTCAGAAGAGGTGTTATGTATTTATGCATACCATAAAATGCCCACAAACACGCAGAGACACTCGTTTTATGTGTGAGGAGTGTCAAGTGCCCCTCTGCATATACCCATGTTTCAAAGAGTTCCACAAGTTGCAGCAGTTCTAGGAACGTGTTTAGTGACTGTACATATGTATATATATTATGGAACAATAGTAATAAACATTGTTTTGTATTGTTTGTTTGTGTAAACTAAGTTTTATACACAAACTAATAGTGATAAAGTTTGTTCTGTTATTGTGTTGTAAACAATGAGTGTATATTTGAACAACGCACCTTACATTGGTCTCACAGGCCACATAAGTTACCTGGAACAGAAAAATATTGAAAAATGCAAGAAACCTTTGAATTAGAGTAAATAAAAGAATACCGGGTGGGCGGCAGTCGCCGCTGTTGTCATACGCACGTCACTTTCTGCAAACTTTGCGGCTCTATATCTCGGTAAGTACTGATGGCAAAAAATTTTTTTTAGGCTTAAAACACTCAGAAAAATATTCCTAACATTTTCATAAGAAAAAATAATTTTTGTTTGTTTTCGAATATTTGGCGACATAGAATGACAGTTTCAGAGAGGGGCCTGAAACAATCAAAGGGTTAAACCAGTCTAGGAAAATATCCCTTGTGACCCCTGCCTTACTGTTAGCCTTCCACATCACACACAAATTACTCTTGGCGACACCGTTTTCCTTGAACACTCTGGGATTTTCAGAGTGATACACCAGTAAAGGCTTCACTTTAAAATCCCCACTAGCATTACTACAAAACATGAGAGTAAGCCTATCCTTCATAGGCTTGTGTCCTGGGAGTGCCGTTTCCTCCTGCGTGATGTAGGTCCTCTTTGGCATTTTCTTCCAAAAGAGGCCTGTTTCGTCACAATTAAACACTTGTTGGGGCTTGAATTCTCCAGTGTCTATGCACTCCTTAAACTCCTGTACAAACTTCTCAGCTGCAATTTTGTCAGAACTGGCAGCCTCACCATGCCTTATCACACTGTGAATGCCACTACGCTTCTTAAATCTCTCAAACCAACCTTTGCTGGCCTAAAAATCACAAGCATCACCACTTGTTGCAGGCATTTTCTTTATGAGATCATCATGAAACTGCCTTGCCTTTTCACATATTATTGACTGCGTAACACTATCTCCTGCTAACTGTTTTTCGGTAATCCACACCAACAATAACCTCTCCACTTCTTCGAGGATTTGTGATCTCTTTTTTGTCGGCATATCTACCCCTTTTGCAACAACAGCACACTATTTCCTTTCCTTTCGCCACGATAGAAGTGATGGTTGAATGGGGTTTGCCATACATCCAGGCAAGCTTTGTAACACGCACTCCACTCTCATATTTTTCAAAAATTTCCTTCTTGAATTCAATTGTGTTCCTCACTTTATTTACCAAAGGGCTTGCACTAGCTTTCCTTGGGCCCATGGTGACTTATTTAGCAGTTGCAATCACTAAAAACAATGGATTATTACGTATGAACCCGCGGGGTGATGGTCACGTGTTGGTAAACAATGGCACACTGAGCGTGAATGGTGTGGGAGACTGGCTTTGTGTGTGCGGTGACGGGCAGACGGGTACCGGATGGTCGCTGAATCATGAGTCTAATCACGAACTGCAAGGCCAAATTTTGCCAAAAAATCTTGCTGAAAGTCAGATTTCACGAAAGTCAATGCCGCCGAAACTCGAGGGTCCACTGTATATATATCTCATACAGAGCACAGCAACATAATAAAGAGAGATGAAAGAGGCCAACCTGGTAGGCAAGCTGGATCTTCTGTTTGACCTTCTAGGGACATCTTTTGTTGGGTCTTCATCAGGTAGTGATTCCACTTTAACTGTGCCTGTTGCTGCATCTTCTTCAATTGCTGGTTTAGGAGGTCTCTGGGAAGCAAGTACAATAGTCACTATGAGAAAATTATTTCATCAGCTAAATTAGTTTTGAAAGCCAGCAAATGTTACTTAAATACAAGGCAAGTGACCGAGAATACAAGACTTTACCAGAGAAAGACAATACAGTAATTAAAAGACACAAAGGTATATAGACTTTCGAGGGAAATTATTAGGTGCCTTTCTTAACCCTTTGAATGGTTGTCACATAGATCTCGACAGTATAAGGGTTTATGTTCTCTGAATATTCCACATTTAATTCAGAGATGAGTCAGTAATTGTAATATTTCTAAAATTTACTTAATCCTCAAAATACAAGTAGAATAATACTAAAATATAATACCTTTAGTGTTACCTACAAATTTTCTTGCATATGCTATAGAAGTGGCCTTCAAATTATGTACTAGATTAGGTTCATAGTAGGTGTACTAAGCTTTAAGGGCACCATCATTTAAAAAAAAAAAAATACTATGGCTGAATTACCTGGAGTTTACCTGGAGGTTTCCTTGGAGATCAAGGTTTTCCATGTTTGGTCTCCATGGGAACCTTGTTTCCAAGGCTTCCATTGGTAGGTCTCAGCTGATTTTACAACCTCACTTCCAAGCCATCAACACTTAATTCCATACAATAACCTTCAACACATTTTGTGGGCCCACTGTCAACACTGTTGTGAACCCCACTAACTGCACAGTGCACTTAGAAAATTAACAATGGAAGTGGGAAGCTGCAAAATACTGAATTTGTATAAAGTGTACCCAAATAAAGCAAAGGTAACCTGTACCCACAGCTCATAATACCGTTTATTTTAATGTCCAATCTGTTCGAATAATGCAGGAGATGAAGTCTTACAAATAAAAAACACATACTATGAACCTGTGATAAGTAAACCCTGTTTTACACAGTAAAATAAGAATTTGGTTCTAGATTCCTTGGGATCCCTCACCCAAACTTAACACAGTATTCCCAAATCTAGCTCACTAAGACCCAATTACCTCTCCTTTTTTAGGCCTCCCTCTTTTCTTCTTGATGATGGGTTGGCCTTCAACAGCTATACTCATAGGGTGGTTCTCACCATACACTTTATATACTTCGCTACCTGAAAATGTATCAAATCCAAATAAATAAGCAGTATTAGTAATAAGTATCATCTTAGTAACATGTACATGAAGGCTCCCTGTTTACAAAAATAAGATTCAGTACTTTTATTTCCCAAGAAAGTATATTAAAGTTATACCAATAAGATATCAGTAACTAATAAATCTTACAAGGAAAAAATCATACTTCTGCATAACATTTTAGGCAGTCCTAAGCTAGGAGTAATATTAACAGTATAACCATATAAAATATATATATGTACATGTATTGGGCATTGTATGTAAAATTACTGTATATAATATTCTATGTAATAAAAATTTTAGTGAAAATTTTAGTCAAAAACTGGAGATATGACTAAATTAAAAAAAGATCTAAAAGTATAATGGTAATTTAAGGAGTTACACAATACTAAAATTTGTTTTATAGAAATACATTAAGCACACAAAATGTTCTTTTAATTTTAAGAAGTAATGCCTTTTTAATTCATCTGGCCAGTTATCCCAATTTCTGACCTCTTTATTGGAATCAAGTTTCTATAAAGGTTCAGTTAAACATGAAGAATATCAGAGGTACAAGATTTGTTTCGAGTGTGAACCTGTGTTTTATTACCCTTTTCCAGGTAATCTCTTAGGTCAGCATGGCAAATTTTGGAAAATATAACTACAGTTTTTAATTATCTCATTTTTTAATGAACTAGATATGAGCATGAAACTTTAATTTACTATCTATGAGTAGGCTTAGAAACTTATTCTCATCCCTTTTTCTCTACTTTAGATTTGTTATTTTTTTTGTCTGATTAGGAACATACGTAGTTTATTCCCAAAAGCTATATACATTAGAATGTTTTTTCTATATGAAGCATGAATTATTTGCTATCATCCAGATGTAGATTTTTAATCTCATTATTATAGTGTTGCAAGTCAGGAGATCAAAGAAGAAGACATAGGTTGTGTCATTAGATCTCTCTCCTCTGGCAGTCTTAAGACTTCATTTTGGCTAGCAGTTCAACTGTTCAACAAGCAGCTGGTGTGCAAATTGGCCTGATGTTATGATGTGTTATCCTTGCCACCTCCAGCCTTCCTCTATTGGCCTACTGGGACTATAAGAATCTATCTGCTTTATGCAGATATTCAGGCTCCCACACCTTCCTAAGCCCCAGTCCTGCAAAGGCCTTTCTCTGCATGTCATTTCCTGGGTCCCTTGATTCTGCTCAAGGGCTGATTGAGGAGTCCTCTTCATGGGCATCTGGCCAGCAACTCCCTGTTGTAGGCTGCAAGTAATCAAGAGATCATGGAAGGGCAGCTTAACACCTGCCACCTTGAGCTGCTAAGACCCTTTTGCTTGTTCCAAAATGGATAATGTTTGTCATTCCATGGGAACCCTTTGTTGTTATCCATGGTCTTTCTTAAAGTTTCAATTCATTATGGTTTACACCACTGCTTTTCCTTTCACAAGATAGAGTGAAGCAATAGTTGAGGCTGTGCCTTTCATGTTCTTGGCAGCTTCCCTTGCATTTGTTGGCCTCTTGTTTATAGACTCCATGCTTGGGCATGTTCATTTTTGCTTCTGATGATATTCTGGTAGTAATCTCGACTTCTCTTTCCATGTTGAAACTCTACAGGTTTCACTCACTCTTGACTTCATAATGCTTTGGAATATACAGAAAATAAAGAACAAAAAGGCACAATTCCATGACTGGAACAGTACACAAATAACCCGCACATAAGAGAAAAACTTATGATGATGTTTTAGTCCAACTTGGACCATTAACTACTCAATGGTCCAGGTCGAATCCAAACATCATCTCACGTTTCTTTCTGCTATGTGCACGTTATTTGTATACAGAAATTATTCCAGATTTAATATGTAATTTGTGAGGTTGTAAAAAAAAATATACTTAATTTTAAGAAGAAAAGCAAAGAAAAAACTCAAGAGGGAAAGAATTTAATATTTAAATCACTTACCTTTAGCCAAGTCATCCATTGGTATATCAGGAGACTTCCCTTGTATATTGATGAGAGCTGCTTGCAAGGTGTCTGTTGTCATCTTGGACTGTAATATAAAATACTAAATTATATAGTAATAATTGGTTTACGATCTTCATGGGGAAGTGGAAAAGAATTCTTCCTCTGTAAGCCAAGCATGTTGTATGAGGTGACTAAAATGCCGGGAGCAAGGGGCTAGTAACCCTTTCTCCTGTATAAATTACTAAATTTAAAAAGAAAACCTTAAGTTTTATTTTTAGGTCACCCTGCCTTGGTGGGATATGGCTGGTTTGTTGAATAAAAAAAACTAGTTTATGAATATATCACAATAAAAAATAAGATTAAAAATTCTTAGTGCTAGCATAATCATATTAACATTGCAGACAGTTTACAATACCTGTATAATGCAATACAATTTAAGATTTAAATATAATAAATAGTAATTTTTCAGAAATTTTCTACAATAAAAAAAATGCAAAATATAACAATAAAAAATGATTAATAAGAATCAGGTAGACTGTATATTCATAAGCTCATTCAAATATTAATGCAGATTGTTTCTGTAGGTAAGAACAAAATATTTTCAATTTAATTTTGAATTCACCCATTGTATTTATGTACAGTTTATAGCTTCATTTCATAACTACTCAAACTTTTTAGTCCTCATTTTAGCATAGAACTTTTCTAGGGATTCAAATGTACACGAGTAAAAGCAAAGGAAAAAAAGCTTACAAAACAGATACCTGCAGCAGTGCTCGCAGTCGCTGCTGTCCCTCCACCATACGATCGATGAGATCGACAGTAGCAGCCACTCCGATGTGACATCGTTCACAGATGCGTACTGGTAATTGCCCATCATCAACAACCTGAAGATTAAAGCTATCTGATTAACTTGTAAATTCATACCAGATCAATGCACAGGTGAGAATGGGTAATTATAAATGAACCCAAAAATTCTTAAGCCAATGCAGAACTGAAATACAGTAGAACCCCTGTACCCACGGATTCAGTTTCTGCTGCTTCAATTATCCAGGGTTTACTGTGGTCCAAAAATAACTCTTAATTTTGCTTAATAATGACACCAAAGCACAAAAGTAGTGAGGGTTGCAATTCAAAGCCTAAGAGAAACCATGAAGTGCTTCCCATCAATGAAAAATTCATAATTCTCCACTTATTCTGCATAAATTATTAATTACACTTTATCATAGGTATGTACACATGCAATGGAAAAAATTACTTATAAATAGGGTTCGCTACTATCCACAGTTTCAGATATTCGTGGATACAGGGGGACTCCACTGTAGTATAGGCATAGTTTGTCCTAATTCATCATTTATTTCTCTACAGGGTTACACAGAGGTAATGCTAGTTCTTGGGCTGCCCTTCAACAGAGGCAATACATAATCTAGTCCATGATGACTTGTCAAACATTATTATTATTATGTATAATCAAAATAAAGAGCTAATTGTCAAACAGCAACACTACTAACATATGCAACTTCTCTTCGGTATTTCCCAAAAACAGTGTCATCAGCAAAAAAAGGACCTGTCACAACTCCTTTGTCTTTTTTGTCTTTCTATCCAACACCTTTTCCCAACTGACAAACATTCACTTCTCTTACAACCCCATCTATAAATGTACATCTTACTACTTAACTGTGCAGAAGTCTGGTGTTGTATAGCTTTGGCTATAATAACAATCAATCATCAATGATGAAAAAGACACTGACCAACAAAGGTTTCAAATCACATTTAAAAATATTTCTAACTAATTTTGCAAAACTGAATTCAAATTTGAACTTGGTTTTGTTCCAGCACGTAAAGCTTCTGAGAAACAGAACCCAATGGGGAATGATTTCACCAAGGTACAGCTGTCATGGAGAAGAAATACCAGGGAAATCTGATGACCACTATGATGACTGACTACTGCTGGACACAGGTACGGAAGAGCCATGGTGAATACCAGTGAAAAAACTTTAAAATGATGCAAGTTTATTCAGGTACAGGTACACAAATACAGTTACATAAATTATCATATATAGCAGCATATGTGTAGATTATATAGGATAACCCCCAAAAAATTAAGACAAAGTGACTTATTCCCATTGGGGTCCTTGTATGTATGCTTGTATGGAAATTTCTCCTACTGTTATGCAAATATATATATAGCAAATTTACAATAAAGAGAATAAATTTTAAGTCATTGCATGTACCATACTTAATACATATGTATACAGTGGAACCCTGGGTTTCATCCAGTGTGGATATCATACAAATTAGATTTTGACCGCTTTTTTGGGCGTAATTTTACCCCGGGTTTCGTACCTCCCCTTGGAAATTATCTGTATCAGATGCATCTGCCCACCCGGGACACGGCCGCTCACATGTACATGACTCAGTCTGCCTGTCACTTGTTCTGTGAGCAATACTCTGCGTGTTCATCTGAAACATTTCGTAATAAACCATTGTTTTTTGTGCTTGTCTATTGAATGTAACTGTGAAATAAGCCACCATGGGGACAAAGGAAAGTTCCTAGTGCCAGCCCTTTGGTAAAGAAGGCGAGATTTTTTTGTGTGACAGGGGTCCAGTGACTCAAGCTGGTCCTAGTGCCAATAAAAGACAAAGAAGGGAAGTAACTCTAGATAGGGCTTTGATACTTAGTCCTTATGGAGGGGATTCCCCTTCCAAATAATAACCTCTCCTCCCTCTCCCCTCCCCGCCTTCTTCCATACGCCAATAAAGGTATGTAATAGAGATTTAAATGTTCATTTATCCATTAAAATGAGTCATTTATATTTATTTCTATGGCTATTCTCTATAAAATGTATTTTTTGTTAATATTTTTGGGTATCAGGAACAGATTAATTGGATTTACACTATTTCTTATGGGAGATATTACTTTGGTTTTCGTCCATTTCGAATTTTGACCAACCCTCTGTGATAGCACAGCAATCACTGACGAGTACACAACAATTATTAGTGAATGCACATCAATGACAACAATCTTCAGTGACTAACAATCATCAATGACTGCACAACAATCATTACTGTACAACAATCATCAATGACTACAACAATGACTGCACAACAGTCATCAGTGACTGCACAACAGTCATCAGTGACTGCACAACAGTCATCAGTGACTGCACAACAGTCATCAGTGACTGCACAAGTCATCAGTGACTGCACAACAGTCATCAATGACTGCACAGCAATTGTCAGTTACTGTACAACAATTATCAATGTACAGCAATCAATGACTATACAGCAATCATTGTACAGTAATCAATGTTCAGCAATGACTGCAAATCAATAACTGCACATCAATGACTGTACAACAATCATTAATGACTGCACAACAATCATCAATGACTGCATAATCACCAATGTCTACAACAATCATCAATGTACAGTAGCCATCAATGACTGTACAGCAATCTTAAAAGACTCTACAGCAATCAATGACTACAGCAATCACCAATGACTGCACATTATCAATGACTATATAACAATTACCAATGAGTTACATTATTATACTAAAAAATAAGCGCTAAACGTACAAGGGACATACAGAGCAGCCCAGTAACTGTACAACAATCACCATGACTGCAATCATCATGATTTTACAAGTCACAACTGTACAACAATCACCAATGACTGCACAACAACCATCAATGACCATACAAGTCACCAATGACTGTACGACAATCACCAATGACTACAATCACCAATGACTACAATCACCAATGACTGTACAATCACCAATGACTGTACGGCAATCACCAATGACTACAATCACCAATGACTACAATCAATGGCTGTACGACAATCACCAATGACTGTACAATCACCAATGACTGTACAATCACCAATGACTGTACAATCACCAATGACTACAATCACCAATGTACAATCACCAATGGCTACAGAATTCGTAAATAACCTTATAATTCATCAATGACTAAAACATTCATAATATCTTTATTTACTACAAGTACATATACAAGGTATACAGGCCTAGCTGACATCACTGACATACTATCATACAGAAAGCCAAATGTTATGCAGAAAGTTTTGGGCAAATCAGGTCAGTTTTGTCCCATAATGCGACCCACACCAGTCGACTAACACCCAGGTACCCATTTAACATAGACAACTGGTGTAAGGAAACACGCCCAATGTTTCTACCCTCACCGGGAATCAAACCCGGACCTCGTCGTGTGAAGCGAGAGCTTTTGCCACCAGGCCACGGGGCACCATTACCTATTGTACTCATGATTAACTATACTACAACATTCATCAATGATTATAAATTATTTTACAGCATTTATCAATGGTTTTATATACATCAATGATTGTACGGTATTCACCAATCCATACAAATCAATAATAATAATCTAATAGTAATATTGCTGTAAATTAATAATATAAATAACTAATAATAAAAGTGAATAAAAGAATGAATGAATAATAATAATAATAATAATAATAATAATAATAATAATAATAATAATAATAATAATAATAATAATAATAATAATAATAATACTCAGTTACAATTGTAACAATGTTTATAGTAATAACGGTAATAAAATAATATGCGACAATATTAATAAAATAATAATAGTAATACTACTAGTAATCGTAGTAATAATGTAAGTAGTAATAATGATGGTAACGGTAATATTACTATTACTACTAATAATAATAAAATAACTAATAGCACTATTAATAATGTTAATATTAATGTTAATACTAATAATACAATAACTAATTCTAATAATACTAATACTTATAGCAATAGTAATTCTAATACTAATACTTATAACAATAGTAATTCTAACAATACTAATACTTATAATTAACAATATTACTATTACTAACAATAATTCGACTACTACTACTAATAATAATAATAGTATTATTATTATTATTATTATTATTATTATTATTATTATTATTATTATTATTATTATTATTATTATTATTATTATTAATGATATTAATAATACTAAAGCTGAATATTAAATGGCTTCAATATAAAGGCAGACACTTGCAAGACAATAACAACAGTCGCCATTTTCACACTCAAACCTTCAATGTTGGTGGAAATACCACGGAAAACGCCCCCAAATATAAAATAATTAAGATTAAGATTAATGCGGCTCACAGACGACCTGGCGGGTGCTCCACAAATGGCCATGAATTAAATTAATAAAAGAGTAATGACTGATTTGACTCCGACCCTGACTTGGTTGATCAACCGAGAACCTAGAGGGAGGAGGAGAGGCGGAGGCCCGGCCATCACGGCTCTCACCTTGATCGGCAGATATTTGTTGATGAGGATGGCCAGGGCGCCCTTCTCCTCGCTGTCGTCGAAGATGGTGAAGCCTTCTTCGGCCTCAGTGGCGCAGAGGCGGCAGAAGGAGGACTCTGCGAGGAGGGAACCCATGTTGGTTGTGCAGCTGCTCGTTCTATTAGCAACCTCCAGGACGACCCGCTCTCTCCCCCTCCCCGTCCCTTCCACCCCTCCAACTCCACATAACCCGCCACATTTAAGATTGTTTTTTTAACCATTATCACTGATTAAAGACACACGCAGCAATGGGAAACTTGAATTAAGCTTCCAATTGCCGCTTGTGTCTTTATCAACTACAACGTGTCGGTAGACCACAATGGAAGTTAGCCACTATGTCAGACTTTTTGGGGTTATCCTATGTATGACTTGTGGGATTACCGGTAATTTACACTATTATAATAGTGCTTAGTGTGTACCTGTGCCTAATTACTCGTAAACTTACTGTTTGCTATTATAGAGATATGATGCCTCCTGTCGGAATTGTTTGCATAACAAACTTTCCTTGTTATATAATGTAATGTTTTTCTAAAAGTTGAACCAACCTGTAGCCATGCAATGTGTAACATCATGCAATGTAATCTCAATGTATTCTAAGGAAAAAGATCCTTATATTCGGCGATAATTTACTCCTAGAAATGGAGAATTATTTTATTTTTTTTAGCTAACATGTTTACGGTGGCCTGGTGGCTAAAGCTCCCGCTTCACACACGGAGGGCCCGGGTTCGATTCCCGGCGGATGGAAACATTTCGACACGTTTCCTTACACCTGTTGTCCTGTTCACCTAGCAGCAAATAGGTACCTGGGTGTTAGTCGACTGGTGTGGGTCGCATCCTGGGGGACAAGATTAAGGACCCCAATGGAAATAAGTTAAGACAGTCCTCGATGACGCACTGACTTTCTTGGGTTATCCTGGGTGGCTAACCCTCCGGGGTTAAAAATCCGAACGAAATCTTATCTTAACCTGGAGAGAGTTCCGGGGGTCAACGCCCCCGAGACCCGGTCTGTGACCAGGCCTGGTGGATCAAAGCCTGATCAACCAGGCTGTTACTGCTGGCTGCACGCAATCCAATGTACGAGCCACAACCTGGCTGGTCAGGTACCGACTTTAGGTGCCTGTCCAGTGCCTGCTTGAAGACAGCCAGGAGTCTATTGGTAATCCCCCTTATGTATGCTGGGAGGCAGTTGAACAGTCTCAGGCCCCTGACACTTACTGTATTGTCTCTTAACGTGCTAGTGACACCCCTGCTTTTCATTGGGGGATGTTGCATCGTCTGCCGAGTCTTTTGATTTCGTTGTGAGTGATTTTCGTGTGCAAGTTCGGTACTAGTCCCTCTAGGATTTTCCAGGTGTATATAATCATGTATCTCTCCCGCCTGCGTTCCAGGGAGTACAGGCTCAGGAACTTCAAGCGCTCCTAGTAATTGAGGTGTTTTATCTCCGTTATGCGCGCCGTGAAGGTTCTCTGTACATTTTCTAGGTCAGCAATTTCACCTGCCTTGAAAGATGCTGTTAGTGTGCAGCAATATTCCAGCCTAGATAGAACAAGCGACCTGAAGAGTTTCATCATGGGCTTGGCATCCCTAGTTTTGAAGGTTCTCATTATCCATCCTGTCATTTTTCTAGCAGATGCGATTGACACAATGTTATGGTCCTTGAAGGTGAGATCCTCCGACATGATCACTCCCAGGTCTTTGACGTTGGCTTTTCTCTCTATTTTGTGGAAGGAATTTGTTTTGTACTCTGATGAAGTTTTAATTTCCTCATGTTTACCATATCGGAGTAATTGAAATTTCTCATCGTTGAACTTCATATTGTTTTCTGCAGCCCACTGAAAGATTTGGTTGATGTCCTCCTGGAGCCGTGCAGTGTCTGCAATGGAAGACACTGTCATGCAGATTCAGGTGTCATCTGGAAAGGAAGACGGTGCTGTGGCTGACATCCTTGTCTATGTCAGATATGAGGATGAGAAACAAGATGGGAGCGAGTACTGTGCCTTGTTGAACAGAGCTTTTCACCATAGCCGCCTCAGACTTTACTCTGTTAACTACTACTCTTTGTGTTCTGTTTGTGAGGAAATTATAGATCCATCTACCAACTTTTCCTGTTATTCCTTTAGCACGGATTTTGTGCGCTATTACGCCATGGTCACACTTGTCGAAGGCTTTTGCAAAGTCTGTATATATTACATCTGCATTCTTTTTGTCTTCTAGCGCATCTAGGACCTTGTCGTAGTGATCCAGTAGCTGAGACAGACAGGAGCGACCTGCTCTAAACCCATGTTGCCCTGGGTTGTGTAATTGATGTGGATCTAGATGGGTGGCGATCTTGCTTCTTAGGACGCTTTCAAAGATTTTTATGATATGGGATGTTAGTGCTATCGGTCTGTAGTTCTTTGCTATTGTTTTACTTCCCGCTTTGTGGAATGGGGCTATGTCTGTGTTTTTAGTAACTGTGGGACGACCCCCATGTCCATGCTCCCTCTCCATAGGATGGTAAAAGCTCGTGATAGGGGCTTCTTGCAGTTCTTGATGAACACGGAGTTCCATGAGTCTGGCCCTGGGGCAGAGTGCATAGGCATGTCATTTATCGCCTGTTCGAAGTCATTTGGGGTCAGGATAATATCAGATAGGCTTGTGTTAACCAAATTCTGTGGCTCATAAAAAAATCATTTTGATCTTCGACTCTCAGTCTGGTTAGCGGCTTGCTAAAAACTGAGTCATAGTGTGACTTGAGTAGCTCACTCATTTCCTTGCTGTCATCTGTGTAGGACCCATCTTGTTTAAGTAGGGGCCCAATACTGGATGTTGTTCTCGACTTTGATTTGGCATAAGAAAAGAAATACTTTGGGTTTCTTTTGATTTCATTTATGGCTTTTAGTTCTTCTCGCGATTTCTGACTCCTATAAGATTCCTTTAGCTTAAGTTCGATGTTTGCTATTTCTCTGACCAGTGACTCCCTACGCGTTTCAGATATATTGGCCTCTTTTAGCCGCTCTGTGGCTTTATCAATACAAATTCTAGAACATAATTTGAAGATAGTAGAACTATATACAGAAGATGAGGTAATCAGTCCCTCAGCCTTGGAGTTGGTGCGAAGAGCACCGTAGTTGTGAAGGTTCTGCATCAGAGGCAAGGAGCCTGGCGCTTATGTACTAACGTCAGGTGGAAAGGGGACGTGTAACAGACGAGGGCATAGTCACTGGTAGGCGGGAGTCCCCAGTGGAAGTAGATCCTACCCAAAGAGATGGGTTAGTTGTAGTAGTTGTTGTCGTAGCCGTGAATTTTATGTACATGTCCTCAGACTCAAGATTCCATGATGTTGCAGTGTCTGACAAGTACAAGAATGGTATACAATACCGACAAGATGAAATTTAAGATGCATGTGTAACATCTGGGTAACTTTATTGTAGACGTTTCGCCATCCAGTGGCTTTATCAATACAAATTCCAGGACATGGAATTCCAGGTGGAAAGAGGACCTGACGTTAGTATATAAGCGTCAGGCTCCTTGCCTCTGATGCAGAACCTTCACAACTACGGTGCTCTTCTCACCAACTCCAGGGCTGAGGGACTGATTACCTCATTTTCTGTATATAGTTCTACTGTCTTCAAATTATGTCCCGGAATTTGTATTGATAAAGCCATTGGATGGCTCACATGTGTCTTAATTTCAATTTGTCGGTACTGTATACCATTCTTGTACAACGAAGGTGAGATCCTCTGACATTATCACTCTCAGATATTTTACATTAGTTTTTGCTCTATTGTGTGGTTGGAATTTGTAATACACTCCGATATAGTTTTAATTTCTTCACGTTTTTCTTATCTGAGCAATTAAAATTTCTCACTATTGAACTTCATATTGTTTTCTGTGGCCCATTTAAAGATTTGGTTGATGTCTGCCTGGAGTCTTACAGTGTCTTCATTGGAGGACACTGTCATGCAAATTCAGGTGTCATCTGCAAAGGAAGACACGATGCTGTGGCTTACATCCCTGTCTATGTCAGATATGAGAATGAGGAACAGGATGGGAGCGAGTACTGTGCCTTGTGAAACAGAGCTTTTCACAGTAGCCGCCTCAGACTTTACTCTGTTTACTACTACTCTTTGTGTTCTATTAGGAAATTATAGATCCATCTACCAACTTTTACTGTAATTCTTTTATCGTGCATTTTGTGCGCTATTACACCATGATCACACTTGTCGAAAGCTTTTGCGAAGTCTGTGTATACTACACCTGCATTGTGTTTGTCTTCTAGAGTAACCAGGACCTTTTCATAGTGGTCCAGTAGTTGGGACAGGCAGGAGCGACCTGTTCTAATCTCATTGTGGAAATTTTTGAATTTTCCCAAATTCAGCATGTGTAAATTTGAATATGATAATCGTGTATTAAAATTATGCTGATTTCACCCTTCGAAAAAATTTGTGTGAAGGAGGTGCAGCGGCCGAGGAGTGATATGGAGGGGGGGACGCCATTTGTAATTTCCTAGCACTGGTTGTCGTGGAAAATTCAGCGAATACTCTGGCGTCACTGAGACCATACTGGGGTGTTTTGGCCTAAGTTTGTAATAGGAACTCGCATTAATGTCCTCTGTTGAAGAATTGGAACAGGAAATTTGTAGGACCTCCAGAATTATGTGTGGATGACGGAAGATAAGAAGACTACTTCATCACTCACACAGGGAAGTGTGCCATTAGTGCTTCCATTTAGAGTTCTCGCTGGCCAGTGTAGGATTCTATTAGGCAGGCGTTGTGGTGTGATCCATCTACAGTAATTATATGGTAAGTGGTAATACAAATTTCTAATAACACCATTATAATTTATGTATAATAATTATATTCTGTATACCCAGCAAGGCAAATCATATACAGTCCACATTATTTTATAATGTACTATTATTGGTATTAATGTTTAATGCTGTAATTATTAATTTAATGTCAGGCCTAGCTTTTTGTGAGTGGTGATGTAGTGGCATCGAAGGAGTGACAGTTCTGCGACCTACTATGACTAAGGATTTTATTCCCTTGCATAGTTTAGAGTGTGTAATTACAATATTGATTTGCTAAGTGCAAAGAAAGCCCCTATCATTGCCCAGATTACTTGCATGTAATGATTCAGGTAATACCCTGTAGATCTCATACAGGTAATTTCCCACACCCATGTTGTCTTGGGTTCTGTAACTGATTGGTATCTAGATGAGTGGCGATCTAGCTTCTTAGAAACCTTTCAAATTATTATAATTAAAGAAAGTGCTAAACCGACAAGAAACCTTTCAAAGATTTTTATCATATAGGATGTTAGTGCTATCAGTCTGTAATTCTTTGCTATTGCAGTACTGCCCCTTTGCGGAGTGGAGTTATGTCTGATATTTTTAGTGACAGTGGGATGACCCCTGTGTCCATGCTCCCTCTCCATAGAATGTTAAAAGCACATGTTAGGGGTTTCTTGTAGTACTTGATGAACACGGAGTTCCACGAGTTCGGACCTGGGGCAGAGTGCATGGGCATGTCATTTATCGCCTTTTCGAAGTCACTTGGTGTTAGGGTAATATCATATAGGTTTGAATCTACCAAATTCTGAGTCTCGCTTATAAAATATTCATTTAGGTCTTCGACTCTTAGGTCTGGTTAGCGGCTCGCTAAAAACTGAGT